GGTAATTGCCTCAATATTTTAGGAATTAGGGGCCAAAAAGGGGCAAAAACAAGCATTTTTCTAGTTTCAGGACAATAACTTGTGTGTAAGTGTATGGATCTTTCTGAAATTGTACTACAGGGTTCCATATCACAAAGGGAAAGCTGGGTTTGAGTTTGGGGGTAATTGCCCTAGACGTTTAGGAATTTGGGGCCAAAAAGGGGAAAAAAACACATTTTTCTAGTTTCCAGACAATAACTTGTGTTCAAGTGTATGGATCTCTCTGAAATTGTACTGCAAAGTACCATACCACAAAGGGAAGGCTGGGATTGAGTTTGGGGGTGATGAATCATAAGGGGGTTCAAAAAATTTGGGGGGGGGGATTTTTTTTTTTCCTTTTTTTTTTCTTTTAAAATTTTCCTTTTTAAGTTGGTTATTTCTGATTTATATCTAAAAGCAAATAATAATGATATGGTAGGAGATACACACCAAACAGGATGTGTAAATTATTGTGCAATAGCAAGAAATTTTCAATTGCACAGTATTGCACAATAGCAAGAAATCTTCAATTGCACAGTATTGCGCAATAGCAAGAAATCTTCAATTGCACAGTATTGCGCAATAGCAAGAAATATCCAATAGCACAATATTGCGCAATAGCAAGAAATTGTCAATTGTACAGTATTGCGCAATAGCAAGAAATATTTAATTGCACAGTATTGTGCAAAAGAAGATACTTCGTATAAATTGCTTATTCCTTGACCAATTTCAATGGGGTTTTATTCTTGAATTCTTGGGGTTCTTTAATATGCTGAATCTAACCGTGTATTAAGTTTTTGGATTTTGGGCCCCGTTTTTAAATTGGTCCACATTGAGGTCCAAAGGGTCCAAAATTAAACTTTGTTTGATTTCATCAAAAATTGAATTATTGGGGTTCTTTGATATGCCGAATCTAACCGTGTATTTAGATTCTTAATTTTTGGTTCCGTTTTCAAATTGGTCTACATTAAGGTCCAAAGGGTCCTAAATTAAACTTAGTTTGATTTTAACAAAAATTGAATTCTTAGGGTTCTTTGATATGCTGAATCTAAATATATGTATTTAGATTTTTGATTATGTGCCCAGTTTTCAAGTTGGTCCAAATCGGGGTCCAAAATTAAACTTTGTTTGATTTCAACAAAAATTGAATATATGGGGTTCTTTGATATGCTGAATCTAACCATGTAATAGATTTTTGATTTTTGGGCCCCGTTATCAAGCTTGAGTGTTGTGTCCATACTTGCCCCAACTGTTCAGGGTTCGACCTCTGCGGTCGTATCAAGCTGCGCCCTGCGGAGCATTTTATTAAAATGTATACAGGCAAGTATCGAGAGTCGTATTGTCGCAAAGTCGCGGTCGAGATAAACAAGGATGTAAAATCAATTATGACTAAATATAGTTCACGTTAATTCAGGTCACTGATTGGTCGTCTATTTAAAGTCGAAAAGTATCTTACGTTTGCAAGGATACCAAGAGAGACGTTCCGATGGTCATTTACAATATGAAGCGATCAAATACCCTGTTCGGTTTTGGCTTCAAGAAAGCGAAGAAATTCAGAGAAGATGACAATAGCATGTTATGAAATAATATCAGTCAAATAAAAGAAAGTATAATATATAATGTTGTTAAGAATCTGGAAAACAGTACCTTTTGTAGTTCCCTTTTCAAAGCCCACGTGGTGTCCAGAGAATGAAGGTCAAACACGAAAGTAGAATATTGTCGACCACAAATAAATCACATTAGTTCAAAATGATTTTAGTTTCCTACTTACTGAACAGTTTACAAAAAAGAGAAAATCAGAGGAGATATCAATTTTATGACAATGCTTTTGAAATACGTGTACAAGTCTTTTGAGAAAAAGGGGGGTCATCTGTTTACAAAATTGTTTATGTACGTAGTTATGCAAAAATAAATCGACCAAGATATTTAATAAATTAGATTATCAAAGAAATAAAATTAAATATTTCATCTATCATCTACATGTATTTAAGGACAGAGAATTCTTTAGTTGTCTTAAAAAGATATATAAAAAAAAAAACTGGTACACAGGGCATGAAGATTCCCATTTTGTAAATGATTTTTTTTTATTAAATTTGATTCAAGTCAACAACAAAAATAAGACAAAATTTACATTTTCCCAAGCATCTAAATCACCTCCAGGTATGCTCAGAATGCAGGGTTTTGAGTCTAAAATTTCAAAATTTTCTTGGGCGGGGGCATGCCCCCAAACCCCCTAGAAAGTTCAGCTCGCTTCGCGGGCTTCCCCAGTGATAGTGAAATAAAGTGGGCTACTAACTTTTTGTCTGGGCTAACTGATTTTCAAGTCTAGTAGCCCAGCTGGCTACTGGCCTTACAAAGTTAGTTTTCACCCCTGATTAATAACCAAATTTTCAATGTTTAAAGTTGCATCATGTGCATTACTATCACTACATCTCATTTGTCGACCATTTCGAGGCCCTTGTCCCTAGAATTTTCCAAATATCTGCAGACAGGGGAGACATATCTCTGTGTCAACAGTTTATTAGTTACTATCTTGAAAACTATTATACATGTAGATAAGAGAAATTTTAAACAACAAAAATTGTTCATCAGGATAAGATCTACATTTATTTACCTATAAGTTGGAAGAACTAAATTTGTCAATTGTCAATTAATCCCTTGTAGGAGTTATTGCCCTTGAAAAAAAATATTCTTTTTAAATTTTTTTATTTTTTCCAGAAACTTAAGATACATATACATTTGTCATGTTTGTTGAAAATAGACAGAAATTTTGAATGGGAAAAGTGTTCAGCAAAGTTTGACCAATAATTAGGTCAACACGACTGGACTTTTCAATTTAACCCTTAACGGGGTTATTACACAGTTACACTTGAAAGACATTTGTTTCATTTTTATACGCCCGTTTATCGGGACGTATTATGGTATACCTCTGTCAGTCTGTCTGTCTGTCTGTCCGTCGTCAACATGTCGGACATTTACTCAAAAACGCTTTAACCAATTTGCATAAAACTTTGATGAATTGTTTATATCTATTGACCTGGGCCCTCAGTCATAAAACTTTACTCAGTACTCTGAGTACTAAAATTGTGCTTGAAACACCAAATCCAGTATTGTGATTGGTTGATTTCTGAGTCTGAGTAGGAAAATCGTGCTCGAAATTTTTATGACCGCAAGGCCTGAGCTCCTCCGTCCGTCTGTCCGTCCGTCTGTCCGTCCGTCTGTCCGTCGTCAACATGTCGGACATTAACTCAAAAATGCTTTGACCAATTTGCATAAAACTTTGGTGAATTGTTTATATCTATTGACGTGAGCCTTTCGTTTTTTATAAAATTTAGATTTTACGTTTCCGAGTTATGGGATTTTATTCATTAAAAAAAGGGGATTTTCCAGTTTTCAGACAATGAGTTAAGAATGCTTTCACCAACTTGCAAGAAATTGTGGTGAATTGTTTATATCTATGACATGAGCTCCCTTTCGATTTTTATAAATTTTAGATTATACGTTTCTGAGTTACAGGGTTTTATTCATAAAAAAAGGGGGGATTTTCCAGTTTTCGGACAAAAACTCAAAAATGCTTTCAGCAATTCTTATGAAACTTTGGTGAATTGTTTGTATGTATTGATGTAAGCTCCTTTTATAATTTTATAAATTTTACATTTTACATTTCTGAGTTATGGGGTTTTATTCATTAAAAAAATGGGTGATTTTCCAGTTTTTGGACAATAACTCAAAAATGATGTCACCAATTCTAATGAAACTTTGGTGAATTGTTTATATCTATTGATGTAAGCTCCCTTTTTATTTTCATAAAATTCTGATATAACATTGAGAATTAATTGAACTTTATTTGTTTATAGTCTGACAACAGATTTACTAAGTATTGCACAACAGCAAGAAATCTTTAATTGAACATAAATGCAATTCATATAACCAATTTCAAGTTCTTTGAATACATTTATTCAGAAACCTATAATATGTCAAATATTTAATTACAATCCAAATTCAGACCTGAATCAAGCTTGAATATTGTGTCCATTTTTGCCCCAACTGTTCAGGGTTGGACCTCTGCGGGCGTATCTAGCTGCGCTCAGCGAAGCAGTTTATTTCAAATATGTTTGCAGAAACTATATATGATAGATAGAGAAAAACTTCAAACAGCAAAAATGTTCAGCAAAATTAGAACTGCTATTAAGTCCACATGACCGAAATTGTCAATTGATCCCTTATTATGAGTTATTGCCCTTGAAAATTTTTAAGGTAAAATAGGAGACCTGTGTCTAATGATTTGACAAGATTGAATATTTATACAGTCAAACCTGCCTTAAAGGTCACCTTGTTTCAGCGTTCACCTGCCTCTAACCGTCACTTTCAGACCCTCCCAAGCATTTTCTCTGTATACATGGAATATAACTCGTTTCAGTGATCACCTGTCTAACATGGTCAGCGTTCATCTAATTTTCGCACGAAATCATCATTCCAACTATTAACAACAGGCATTTTAATATTTTTAACTTAATTAAATAAACATGACGAAAAATATATATCTTGTGTCAAAATGAAAATCGGAACATGTTTGCAACAGAGAATTTGCAATTGGAGGTAAATTATTGAATTCCTCATGTTCCACACCTTTCATTTCCATTAAAAACCGTATCATTGACTTATTTCTTAAAAGAATATAAACAAATTTCAAAAGTATTCTTTAAATTTACAGTGCCGGAATCAGCCATTTTTTTATATCACTGCTGCAAGATAGATACAAAAAAATACAGGAAAGATAAAGAATAATTATTAATTATACAGTATTGTCCTTTATATCTCTGTAATATTGGCCAATGGACGTGCAAAGTTCAACCAAAATTTCATTGTTAGGCAATTTATGTATATATATATATACATGTATCATGTATATAAATAAATACTTTTCCACAGTTATAGTTATATAAACAAAATGTTAGAAGCATTCTTTTCACTTTTTTCAGGTCAAACATATCTCCTTCTGAAATTTCTTCAGCTCAATGGCCCTTCAGATATTGTGATATTGAAGAAGTTAATAGCTGTGAGGAAGTTTTTGGAATTGAGTTATGGGATCAAATACAGGCAAAAAAAAATAGATTTGAGTGTACAAGCTCATGGAATGGGAAACAGTGAGTATTTGTAAATAATACAAAGTTCTATTATGTTTTACCTAAGTCATGTAAGTCATGTTAGTCAATGCAAAACTATTATGTACATGTAGTTAATCTTTTACAATAAATTTCTTAGATTTGCAAGCAATCACAAAACACACAAGTTCATCATGCAATGTCATGATCATATAAATGTACTTATTGCAATGTAATCATAGTAATCCTTGGTAGCAACTTTTATAAATTTTAAAATGGTGAATATTTAAAATTGAAAGAATACCAACACTTCCCAAATTTGATTCTTGGTCACCAAATTGATTTCAGAGATAAAAAGACAAGGACTTTTTGCATCTACAAATCATAAGTCCATCTTTAAAAAATACAGCACAAACAGAGACTTGTCATCAGACATTTCATTTCACTGTGACCACAATGCTCCTAAATATTTTGGGTTTAACACCACAACATTCCTGAATGTATTCATGGTATTGGGTTTTATTGAATGGAGACATATTATCATTTGTGTCACAAACCAAGACAGTCATTCACTGTTTTCTTAAAAAAAAATCATTTAAATAAATATATATATATAACAGCTGTTTTATTTGATATACCTAAATGTCCAAATGAGCTATTGCCATCACTTTACTTCTGTTGTTGTAAACTTTTTCAAAGATCTTATACTCTGAAACTACTCAACCAATTTCAATCAAACTTGGGCATGTTGGGGTGAAGGATCCTTATGGTATCTAGTATAAAGTTTGTGTTTTTTATTATGCCCCCGCCGTAGTGGTGGGGGCATTAAGTTTTACCCTTGTCCGTCTGTACGTATGTCAGTCCGTACGTCCAAAAATTGGTTTCCGTTCTCTAACTTGAGTTTGTCTCAACCAAATGTTATGAAACTTATACACAATGCTTATTACCACAAAACACAGATCAAGTTAGTATATTGGTGGCGTCACTTTAACCGTTCTAGAGTTATGCCCCTTTATACATTTGTAAATGGAAAAATTGCAAAATTTTTAGTTTCTGTTCTCTAACCTAAGTTTGCCTCAACCAAATGTTATGAAACTTATACACAATGCTTATTACCACAAAACACAGATCAAGTTTGAATTTTGGTGGCATCACTTTAATCGTTCTGGAGTTATGCCCCTTTATGAATGGAAAAATTGCAAAATTTTAGTTTCCGTTCTCTAACTTAAGTTTGCCTCAACCAAATGTTATGAAACTTATAAATAATGCTTATTACCACAAAACACAGATCAAGTTTGAATTTTGGTGGCATCACTTTAACCGTTCTAGAGTTATGCCCCTTTATAAATGGAATAATTGCAAAATTTTTATTTTCTTCTAAATATCAGGTAATTTTTATACGACCGCAAAAAATTTTTGCGGTCGTATATTGGAATGACGTTGGTGTCATCGTCGTCGTCGTCCGAAGACACATTGGTTTTTGCACTCTAACTTTAGTTAAAGTCAATGGATCTCTTTGAAATTTTACCATAAGGTTCAATACCACAAAAGGAAGGTGAGGATTGATTTTGGGGGTTATGGTACCAACAGTTAAGGAATTAGGGGCCAAAAATAAGCATTTTTGTAACTTCCAGACATAACTTGTGTGTTAGTGTATGGATCTCTCTGACATTGTACCACAAGGTTCCATATCACATGGGAATGCTGGGATTGATTTTGGGGGTAATTGCCTCAAAATTTTAGAAATTTGGGGCAAAAAAGGGGCAAAAAACAAGCATTTTTCTAGTTTCATGACAATAACTTGTGTGTAAGTGTATGGATCTTTCTGAAATTGTACTACAAGGTTCCATATCATAAAAGGAAAGCTGGAATTGAGTTTGGGGGTAATTGCCCAAAACGTTTAGGAAAAAGGGGCCAAAAAGGGTAAAAAATAAGCATTTTTCTAGTTTCCAGACAATAACTTGTGTTCAAGTGTATGGATCTCTCTGAAATTGTACTGCAAGGTACCATACAACTAAGGGAAGGCTGGGATTGATTTTGGGGGTAATTGCCTCAAAATTATAGGAATTATATGGGCCAAAAAGGGGCAAAAAATAGGCATTTTTCTAGTTTCAGAACAATAACTTGTGTGTAAGTGTATAGATCTTTATGAGATTGTACTACAAGGTTCCATATCACAAAGGGAAAGCTGGGTTTGAATTTGGGGGTAATTGCCTTATACGTTTAGAAATTTGGGGCCAAAAAGGGGCCAAAAAACAAGCATTTTTCTAGTTTCCAGACAATAACTTGTGTTCAAGTGTATAGATCTCTCTGAAATTGTACTGCAAGGTACCATACTACAAAGGGAAGGCTGTTATTGAGTTTTGGGGTGATGAATCATAAGGGGGTTCCAAAAATTTGGGGGGGGGGGGGATTTTTTTTTTCCTTATTTTCCTTTTTTTTTCTTTAAAATTTTCCATTTTAAATTGGTTATTTCTGATTTATATATAAAAGCAAATAATAATGATATGGTTTGAATAGGTAAATTAAATTTTTTTAAGTTCTTAGACCACATTCATTCTGTGTCAGAAACCTATGCTGTGTCAAATATTTAATCACAATCCAAATTCAGAGCTGTATCCAGGCCATAATCGTGCCGGCGAAATGACGATTTAAGTCGCCAAAGAATTTTGAAAATCGCTAAATCTCGCCGGCCGACTGACTACATAGCAAAGTCAAATCGCTATCAAAATCGGTAAAAGGGAGACAACTTGTGATTGACAAGTCTCACAGGTAAAAAAAATGGCGGCGGACAAGGAAAATCGAGATTTTCGAAACGACCCAGGACTAATACTGTAAACGATCAAATTAAATAAATACAACGGCGACTTTGAACATCCTCGGATATAACTTTCAAAACTGTTCAAACGGAAAACTGACTGCCTATTTAAGTTATCGTTTTACGATGATTTTCATCTGAGGATGTTGCGTAATCACTCAGCTGATTTGTTTTATTTTTATTACCTTCACGAGTCGATAAATTTTACTATTCGGTAGGTAAAGGGTGGGAATTAACGGTAGATTTATTATATTCATTGAATAAAAATTGAAATATAAAAGGTAGAAAGACAGCTGATGGATAATGTGATTGCAAACGTACGACACTCGACCAGATTGTGATCAGCAGTGGATTTTTTCTCATGACCACTTCATTGATATGGATGATATTTTTAAAATATGATAGAAATTAGCTCTTTATCGGATAATTAACTTGAGATTGAAAGATATTTTCATTTATAGACTTACAATATTTAACGATAATCTCAATTTACTACAACTAACATAAATGTCCTGGACATTCAATAATGTTTTACAAAACAATGACAAGTGGTGATATAAATTAAATTCCCAGTCATGTGAAATTCATCATATTTTTCTGGAGTTTTAAAAATAAATTGAGGCAGATGCACATGAATTTAATGCATCATAATCTTGATAATATTACTAGGCTACTCCCTCATGTCCCAATCAACAAATTTTATTAAGAACACATTATGGTATCAATAAATAAATAACAACTATATATTGTCTAAACCTTTTTATTAAGAACTTTCTATATATACATTGTGTACAATAACATATGAAAAAACTGCAAGTACATCTTTTATTGAATATAAAACAATTTCCTTAGTGATAAGCTTGAAAACACGATGCAACCGAAAGGGTAATGGAATCTCACTTCTACAAGAAGTTGACCACTTCTCCCTTCTCTCTCATGGAAGGAGAAGTCACTTCTCCCTCTTCAAAATCCTAGATTAGGCCCTGTGTATCAAGCTTGAATGTTGTGTCCATACTTGCCCCAACTGTTCAGGGTTCGACCTCTGCGGTCGTATCAAGCTGCGCCCAGCGGAGCATTTTATTAGTTTCTGTTCTCTACTTAAGTAAGCCTCAACCAAATGTTATGAGACTTATGCACAATGCTTATTACCACAAAATTTAGATCAAGTTCAAATTTTGGTAGCGTCACTTTTACCGTTCTTCAGTTATGTCCCTTTATAACTATATGATATGCAAGTGGGGGCATCATCTGTGTCCACATGTGGACACTATCCACATTTATTCCAGTCTGCGGTGGCCATGGATAAAAATAGAAGAAAGGGATCAAATGCAGTTTTTGGCTTATATGTATCTCAAAAATTAAAGCAGATAGAGCAAAATTGACAAGGGTTAAATGATCCGCAGATGAAGCAGTATTTGCTAGAAAATTGTTAGCAAAGAAAGACCTACAAATAAGTAATTGTGACCGAAATTGTCATCAAAACCCTTATTCAAAACCCTTATTCATGTAGGAGTTATTATTGTTGAAAGACAGTTTTTTTTTCTTCATTTTTTGTCCAGGCTGCAACATTTATGTCGTGAAAGTGAGATATAGCAATCCTAGATGCCGTCGGCAGCAGCAGCATCAACATTAAGGTACAGACTTTAGGGAGGTTTTTCTTTGGGCAATTCTGGCACTCTGAGGTGTGTTATACGACAAGAAAAATCTTAAGATATGCATTATCTGCCTTATATACCATCAACAAATAAGATTTGCAGGATTTGCATCCTATTTTAACGACCACACTAAAATGGGATATTCTTTTCTGATGCGTTCAGGTTTAAATACGCCCTACATGCATATCTCATTTATAATGTGAAATAAAACTCACTAACAAGTAATTAGTCTAGATATATAAACTTTAGAAATCATTATTCAGTTACAATAAAAATACACAATTTTTTTATGAATTCTTACAGTGTGTGAAAAATACAAGTCACTTTGTAAGTAATTTATTGTATCAACTTAGTTTATGAAAGGGGATGCTATGTTTTTACAGTTATTTTTTCATGACATTTCTATCGCAGAAAAGCAGATTATTTTTCTAACATTTTTTAGCGATCTATTCAGAATAATTTTTTTTTTCTCTTTTGTCTGGCAATACAATTTTTTTTAAACTGAGAATCAGGATAAAATATTATACTCCGTCACCCTTTTATAAATTATGTGACTGTTATTATATAAATAAAAAGTTAAGAACTGGCACGAAGAGAGCATGAAATGGTGATGCATGTACCAATACAGTGTGAATCAAAAAGATTTTCAAAATCCTACTCACGTATGTGTTAAATCTTACTTGTTTTAAAAGTGGCATGAACAGTTTTGCATTATCAAATTCATCTCACATAATGTCCCTTTATCAGGTTTATTGAATTAACAAAACTTCACATTATTTGATTATTATTTGATTAGATAGTTAAAATGTGTTAAAAGGAAATGTTTCTGTCTGAAACGATGGAGAATTAAAAAGTAAAACCCTATTGGCAACAACACATGATAACTATATATCAAACGAATTAAATGTTTAAGTAAATTATAGTTTGCATTTTAATCAAGGAAAATAATAACTTTACACAGGTAATTTTTGTCGAGCCTGCGACTTTTGTCGCAAAAGAGAGACATAGCGATCCTACATTCCGTCAGCGTCGTCGGCGGCGTCCACAAATATTCACCCTGTGGTTAAAGTTTTTGAAATTTTAATAACTTTCTTAAACTATCCTGCATTGCAACCAAACTTGGACAGAAGCTTGTTTATGATCATAAGATAGTATCCAGAAGAAAATTTTGTAAAAAAAAAAATCCTGTTTTTCTGTATTTTACTCATAAATGGACTTAGTTTTTCTGCCAGTTAACATTACATTCACTCTGTGGTTAAAGTTTTTGAAATTTTAATAACTTTCTTAAACTATCCTAGATTTGTACCAAACTTGGACAGAAGATTGTTTATAATCATAAGATAGTATCCAGAAGAAAATTTTGTAAAAAAAAATCCTGTTTATCTGTATTTTACTCATATATGGACTTAGTTTTTCTGCCAGTTAACATAACATTCACTCTGTGGTTGAAGTTTTTCAAATTTGAATAACTTTCTTAAACTATCCTGGATTTGTACCACACTTGGACAGAAGCTTGTTTGTGATCATAAGATAGTATTCAAAAGTAAATTTTGTTAAAAAAAAAATCCTGTTTATCCGTATTTCACTTATAAATGGACTTAGTTTTTCTGCCAGTTAACATTACATTCACTCTGTGGTTAAAGCTTTCAAAATTTTAATAACTTTCTTAAACTATCCTGGATTTGTACCACACTTGGACAGAAGCTTCTTTATGATCAAAAGCTAGTATCTAGAAGGAAACTTTGTAAAAATTTATTTCCTGTTTTTCTGTATATTACTTATAGATGGACTTAGTTTTATTCCAGCTAACATTACGTACAATCTGCAGTTAAGTTTTTAAAACATTTATTAGATTCATAAACCTTCGTGGATTTTGACCAAACTTGAACAGAACTTCTTACAATCAAAAGATAGTATCTAGTGGAAAAATTTTTAATAATTTTTTTCCCATTTTTGTCTCGCCTGCGACGAAAGTCGCAGAAATTGAGACATAGGTATTACTATCCGGCAACGGCGACGGCGGCGTAAACTATTTGTATAAAGCTTTATATTTCAGAAGGTAGAAGACCTGGATGCTTCATACTTTGTATGCAGATACCTTATGTTACGAACTTTCCATCTGTCATATGTCCAATGTCCTTGACCTTATTTTCATGGTTCAGCGACTGCTTGAAAAAAAAGTTTAGTTTTTTTGTTATGTAAATTTCTCACTTATTATGAGTAATAGGATAACTATATTTGGTATATGGGTTCCTTGCAACGTCTACATGTCCATCAGACAAGGTTCACCTGACCTCAGCCTCATTTCATGGATCAGTGATCAAGGTTAAAGTTACATGATTAGGTCCGTCTCTCAGATACTACAAGCAGTAGGTCAGCTATATGTGGTGTATGGAATGATTATAAGGGATACATGTCAGTCTGGCAGGTTTCATCTGACCTTGACCTCATTTTCACGGTTCATTGGTCAATGTTAAGTTTTTGTGTTTTGGTCTGTTTTTCTAATACTCTAAGCCATTGGTCAACTATATTTGGTGTATGGAATGATTGTAAGGTGTACATGTCTGTCTGGCAGGTGTCATTTGTCCTTGACCTATTTTCATGGTTCATTGGTCAATGTTAAGTTTTTGTGTTTTGGTCTGTTTTTCTAATACTATAAGCAATAGGTCAACTATATTTGGTGTATGGAATGATTGTAAGGTGTACATGTCTGATTGGCAGGTGTCATTTGTCCTTGACCTCATTTTCATGGTTCATTGGTCAATGTTAAGTTTTTGTGTTTTGGTCTGTTTTTCTAATACTATAAGCAATAGGTCAACTATATTTGGTGTATGGAATGATTGTAAGGTGTACATGTCTGTCTGGCAGGTGTCATTTGTCCTTGACCTCATTTTCATGGTTCATTGGTCAATGTTAAGTTGCTCTTGTTTGGTCCTCTTCTCAGATACTATAAGTTATAGGTCAACTATATGTGGTGTATGGAATGATTGTAAGGTGTGCACGTCTGTCTGACAGGTTTCATCTGACCTTGAGCTTATTTTCATGGTTCATTGGTCAATGTTAAGTTTCTGTTGTTTGGTCTTCTTCTCAGATGCTATAAGTAATAGGTCAACTATATTTGGTGTATGGAATGTATTTTATTATTTAACTGCTGATTACTTACATTGAAATAGATTATTTTATAAAAATCTTTAAATAACATTAATAATGATAATAAATAATAAAAACTTTTAAGGGATCATTACTAAACCGTGATTAACAAAAACATTGGAAGGTATGAAAATGTTAAAATAAGGTCACTCATGCATGAATGTTTAACATACATGTAGAATACAGTTCACTCCAGTCCCTTCATAAAGATTAATTGGCTGAAAATGTACAGATTGAAGAACTTTTGAAATTTTGTTTGCACAACAGAATCACATTTACTAATTTTTGTCGAGCCTGCGACTTTTGTCGCAGAAAGCTCGACATAGGGATAGTGATCCGGCGGCAGAGGCGTTAGCTTTCTTCTTAAAAGCTTTATATTTTAGAAGGTGGAAGACCTGGATGCTTCATACTTTGTATATGGATGCCTCATATTACGAAGTTTCCGTCAGTCACATGTCCAATGTCCTTGACCTCATTTTCATGGTTCAGTGACTACTTGAAAAAAAAGTTAAGATTTTTTGTAATGTTAAATTCTCTCTTATTATAAGTAATAGGATAACTATATTTGGTATGTGCGTACCTTGCAAGGTCCTCATGCCTGTCAGACAGTTTTCACTTGACCTCGACCTCATTTCATGGATCAGTGAACAAGCTTAAGTTTTGGTGGTCAAGTCCATATCTCAGATACTATAAGCAATAGGTCAAGTATATTCGGTGTATGGAAGGACTGTAAGGTGTACATGTCCAACTGGCAGGTGTCATCTGACCTTGACCTCATTTTCATGGTTCAGTGGTTATAGTTAAGTTTTTGTGTTTTGGTCTGTTTTTCTTATACTGTATGCAATAGGTCTACTATATTTGGTGAATGGAATGATTGTAAGGTGTACATGTCTAGCTGGCAGGTGTCATCTGACCTTGACCTCATTTTCATGATTCAGTGGTTATAGTTAAGTTTTTGTGTTTTGGTCCGTTTTTCTTATACTTTATGCAATAGGTCTACTATATTTGGTGTATGGAATGATTGTAAGGTGTACATGTCCAACTGGCAGGTGTCATCTGACTTTGACCTCATTTTCATGGTTCAGTGGTCAAAGTTATGTTTTTGAGTTTTGGTCTTTTTTCTTATACTTTATGCAATTAGTCAACTATATTTGGTGTATGGAAATATTCTATGATGTACATGTCAGTCTCACAGGTTTTATTTGACCTTGACCTCATTTTCACGGTTCATTGCTCAGTGTTAAGTTTATGTGTTTCAGTCTGTTTTTCTTAAACTATAAGCAATAGGTCAGCTATATTTGTTGTATGGAAGGATTGTAAGCTGTTCATGTCTGCCTGGCATGGTTCAGCTGACCTTGACCTGATTTTCACGATTCATTGGTCAATGTTTAGTTTTCTTGGTTAAGTCTGTTTCTTAGAAAATATAAGCAATAGGTCAACTATATTTAGTGTATTGAATGATTGAAAGGTGTACATGTATTTCTCGTTTGGTTTATATGACCTTGACTTCATTTTCTTGGATCATGTTAAGTTTATGTAATAGTTGTAGTAAAGCTTTCATTTAGGACTATCAACATAATACCAATGGTTAGTAAAGAAGGCGAGACATTTCAGCGTGTGCACTCTTGTTGTTGATCCTGCGACTAACAGCAAAAGTAGGCGAGACACTGGGTTCCGCGGAACCCTTACGAATTATTTATGCCTTGACGCAAATTTCATTGAAACTTGGTATTGCCTGGGTTGATTCTTCAAAAGAAAGACCTGTGGTTCTAACAGAAAATAACTCCATATAGGTATATAAAGGTTAAGAATTGAGAAAATGTTTAAACTTTTCAAAAAGTAATTTGTGGTAACACAATTTATGTCTTAATGATTCACTATTTATACATATTCATGCATGTTTTTTAAAAACACATGTAACAATTCAAATGTACCAATGTGTACACTTGTACTTTATCTTTTAATTATTTAGGATGATAAAAAGCAGACAGATGATATCCAGGAGTGAATTAAGCTGTGGAAATCCTCATGATCAAGCTAGAAACCTTTTCAGTCTACTTCTTTTGAAACATTTTGAGGACAGTTTTCTTTCACAACAAGAAATAAGATTGCAGCCATTTGAAATATATGTAGCTCCTGGTCGTTATGTAGAATATAAACCACAGGTTGATATATGTTTATTGGATCCGAATAAGGACGGAACAATCTGCTTAAACATAATTGAAATAGTAAGTATACTATTTTACAACTCTACACTTTATCATTTTTATAAGATTGGAACTATTGTTCTAATTCTTTCATAAGGCACAGACCTTTAAAACAGGAAGTAGCCAGGTTAGCTATCTATTCTATAAATACTGAAATATAGTTACCAAAAATCTTCATGTATGTGGACATATATACACATATGAACTGGAAAAAAATGGGTTATATCTTCAGAGCAGTTCATCCAACTACGTATTATCTTTTGTTTTGTCAATTTGCTGACTAGTTTTGTCAATTTTATTAGGTTGGAGTACTGATACAGTACTAGTATGATTGCCAACTGTTATGATCAACAAATAATCAGAGTCAAGGTAGAGTCTTAATTGGAATGTCAAATCCACTTAGATGCTAATAATATTGACCAAATTACTAATTAAGTTCATCCTCCCATATTTAAATAGACTCTTCATTAATGAAATATGTATGATATATATAGAAATAAGATGGCTTGGGCTCCTGACGATGGACATGGCCATGGTCAGTTAGTTAATTCTAATTGGTCTAAATAGATGTTCGAAACACCTTGTGATCTATGGAGTTGGGGTGCTGGGATAGGATGTGACAACGATTTATTGAAATATGTGTCAGAAACCTATGCTGTGTCAAATTTTTAATCACAATCCAAATTCAGAGCTGTATCAAGCTTGAATGTTGTGTCCATACTTGCCCCAACTGTTCAGGGTTCGACCTCTGCGGTTGTATCAAGCTGCGCCCAGCAGAGCATTTAATTGAAAACTTGTAAACGGTCAAGATCCCCACCCCTAAACCATATATATATATTCTTGTATGGGACAAAAAAACAAATCATATGAAATAAAGGGCGAGTCTCCTGGGGATCCCCCCCCACTTTTGAGAACTTGTAAACGGTCTAGATCTCCACCCTTAACCATATATATTCCTGTTCGTAATTTCAAGAAGATTTGAATGACATACAGGGTCAGTCCATAGGCGTCACTTATGCATATCACAAACCAATTTGTACAGGACTTTGCCCAATGTCAGGCGACCATGGGAATGACGAATTATTAGAGCATTATTTGGGAGATTTCGTAACAGCATCCTGTTACAATTATTTCTTGTTACTGATTTTTATAGATTATGAAAAGATATTGTATTAATGATAAATTAAATTTTGGATTTTTTTCTTCTTTTCCTTGGTAAATTGTTTGAAGAATTTTGTGGCAAGTTTGTTTGTTATTCTGTAAAAATTAATTTTCTGAATGCTATATATTTTTTTTTATGAAGTGAACTCCTTTTAAAACTCAGCCTTTATTGTCTATTAATAAACATATATTTAGATTTCTGATTTTGGGCCCAGTTTTCAAGTTGGTCCAAATTGGGGACCAAAATTAAACTGTGTTTGATTTCAACATAAATTGAATATATATAGGGTTCTTTGAAATGCTTAATCTAAACCTGTATTTCTTTTCATTATTAATAAGATAATACCACATTGAGGTCCAAACGGTCCTAAATTAAACTTTTGTTTAATTTCATCAAAAATTGAATTCTTTGGTTCTTTGATATGCTGATTCTAACAATGTTTGAGTGTTAAATCATATCTAATTTTAGAGAACTTAGTCATCACATGTTGTTGTTATTATATTATTGATTATAATTATCAAAAATTGAATTCTTTGGTTCTTTGATATGCTGATTCTAACAATGTTTGAGTGTTAAATCATATCTAATTTTAGAGAACTTAGTCATCACATGTTGTTGTTATTATATTATTGATTATAATTATCAAAAATTGAATTCTTTGGTTCTTTGATATGCTGATTCTAACAATGTTTGAGTGTTAAATCATATCTAATTTTAGAGAACTTAGTCATCACATGTTGTTGTTATTATATTATTGATCATAATTTGAAAAATTGCATCATATCTTATTTTAGAGAACTATTTATCCAGTTTGAGTTATTTCCCTTTGCACAGAAAATATTATGGATAAAATTAACCTGTGTTTCATGTCAACATAAATTAAATATATATAGGGTTCTTTCAAATGCTGAATCTAAACCTGTATTTAAATATTAGATTTTTGGGCCCAGTTTTCAAGTTGGTCCAAATCAGGGTCCAAAATTAAACTTTGTTTGATTCAACAAAAATAGAATTTATAGGGTTCTTTGAAATGCTGAATCTAACCATGTATTGAGAGATTTTAGATTGTGGGCTCCTTAATCAAATTGGTCCACATTGAGGTCCAAAGGGTCCTAAATTAAACTTTTGTCTGATTTCATCAAAAATTGAATTCTTGGGGTTCTTTGATATGGGGCAATATGCGCAATTGTTTCTACATAGGCGGTAATGGTAAAATTTTCTTCTGTAGCTCAGTCCATATCGTAAACTTGGATATGTATGATGGCTCGTTTGAAGCTGAGACATTTTCACATAAGTGGTTAAATTTTCGGGGTACGAAGTGTGATTCATTTTTCCCTAAATTAGCATACCCCGAAAATCCTTTCGTGATGCGGCTCTTCATGGTAAAAAATCCCTTTTTTCACAGAATAATTTCTTTGAAAATTTAATACTTTGAATACATTTAATAACTGCATAGTTTTTTACACATTTATTCTATGGTCCTCTACTTTCCAGATCAACACAAATGGTTAAGCTCAGTCACTTGTTAAAAATTGAAACATGTCCAATATCACTACAGAGATTTTTTGTTTACACACAACTTTTGTGTTCCTCAATTGGAGGCGCATTAGGGATATTGACCCATATGCTGATTCTAATATGTACTTAGATTTTGGATATTGGACCATAATAGGTATTTAAATGTCCAATTTCAAATATTTCAGTTCTTTGACCACATTCATTTTGTGTCACAAACCTATGCTGTGTCAAATATTCAATCACAATCCAAATTCAGACCTGTTTTAAGCTTAAATGTAGTGTCCATACTTGCTCAACAGTTCAGGGTCCGACCTCTGCAGGAAAATCCGGTTTGCTGTCACTCTGACAGCCTCTTGTCTTTTTTTTTCTTAATATTATACCAGAAAATCAGACGAGGCAATTGCCTCGTCTGCCTCATCGGTAGTTACAGCCCTGCTCTGAAATTGTACCACAAGGTTCCAAATCACAAAGGGAAGGCTGGGATTGAGTTTGGGGGTAATTGCCCCAAATGTTCAGGAATTAGGGGCAAAAAAGGGGCCAAAAACAAGCATTTTTCTAGTTTCCAGACAATTACTTGTGTTTAAGTGTATGGATCTCTCTGAAATTGTACTACAAGGTTCCATAGCACAAAGGGAAGGCTGGGACTGTGTTTTGGGGTAATTGCCCCAAACGTTTAGAAAGTAGGGGCAAAAAAGGGGCCAAAAACAAGCATTTTTCTAGTTTCCAAACAATAACTTGTGTTAAAGTCCATGGAACTCTCTGAAATGTACTTTTTTCCTGAAAAGAAAATAATCTTCATAATTTCCAAAAAAATTTGGGGGGGGGGGGGGGGGGGCGGGGATTTTTTTTCAATTTTTTTTGGGGGTTCATACTTTTTTTCTTCAAGATTTTTCAACAAAAAAATTAGGGGGGGGGACACATTTTTGGGGGGGATTTTTTTTCCCCAAAATTTTCCATTTTTACATTGATTATTTCTGATTTATATATAAAAGCAACAAATACTGATATGGCAGGAGATACACACCAAACAGGGTGTGTAAATTATTACATGTATATATAACAGATTAACTAAGTATTGTGCAACAGCACAGTATTGCGCAATAGCAAGAAATCTTCAATTGAAAATAAATACAAATCTTTTAACCAATTTCAATTTTTAAATTTGTCTACATCGAGGTCCAAAGGGTCCAAAATTAAACTTTGTTTGATTTCATCAAAAACTGAATTATTGCGGCTCTATGATATGCTGAATCTTATTGTGCAATTAGATTTTTTATTTTGGGCCCTGTTTTCAAATTAGTCCATATTAAGGTTTGAAGGGTCCAAAATTAAACTTTGTTTGATTTCAACTAAAATTAAATTTTTGGTGTTTTATTATATGCTGAATCTAATAACCATGTTCATGTTGTTAGAGATTTTGAATATCAGACCATACTAGGTAAATTAAATGTCCCATTTCAAATTTTTAAGGTCTTTGACCACATTTATTTTGTGTCAGAAACCTATATTATGTCCAAAATTTGATCACAATCCAAATTCAGACAGTATCAAGCTTGAATATTGTGTCCAAACTTGCCCTAACTGTTCAGGGTTCGACCTCTGCGGTTGTATCAGGCTGCACTCAGCGAAGCATTTAATTTGCGTATTATCTTGAAAACTATAATAGATAAATAGAAAATTTAGATAGGAAAAATTATCAGCTGGATAAGATCTACAAATATGCCAACATGACTGAAATTGTCAGTTAACGCTTGATAGAGTTATTTTCTTTAATGATGATTTTTAAAGGCAGTGCTTTAATGCCTTTCTAGTTGCCGGGTTAATCCTTCCTTCCGCGTTATCCAACTTATCTACGTGGGGGGTCATTAGGCTCCAAGTAGATCCGGAAATGTTGAATTCTCTCCTCTTCTTATTGTGATATAAAATGTTTTTTGGTTTCATTTCATTTACATTGGGAAATAGAGAAACGATCATTGTGTTTTGTTAGTTTTAAAAACTTTTGATATATTTGTATTTTGCATTATAAGCAGTCAACCGATTGACAAACTAGAATTATTTGAAATCCGTGTGGAAAGAGCTCGGGTTAATTTCGAGTGTTATCTGCAATCTACATGTTTATAAATCATTTCAGTCGTTGATATAATAATTAAAGGTCGACTGAACATGAATTATATTATACAATTTAAAGCGCATTTCTGTTTATGCACGTGAACCCGTCTAACGTTATTGTTATTTCGCAGTTATATAAAGTAGCAAATTATCGTTCCTGAATAGGTGGCGCCGTGGTAGCCAATCCTGTTCCTCAATTTCCGGTTTCTGCACTGTGCAACTATTTCAGTAACATTTTTAATTAACGATGCCAAGTACTTGTTGTTGTGTACCTGGATGTCATTTAAGAGGAGGACATGCATTTCCAAATGACTTAAAAAGAAGGAAAAGTCGGATCAACGCCATGGCCCATAGGCAGATTGGACGAGAGTCCATCTCAATCAGCTGTTGTTTGCAAGGCACATTTTACTGAAAAAGACTACGTGCAGGAAACTATTCATGGTAAAACTCTGTTTTCTTTTTGAAATATATAGTTATATATGTAATCGCCATGCGAATAAACCAAAGTCTGTTTACAACCGCAATTATCGTTTTAAA